CACTTGTTATGGACAATTTTTCCCTGTCATCTACTCTCGGACATTTATGTCTTTACTGGGCTTAAGCTACCTTGCAGCTTGGTTCTTTTATAACTGTGTCTTTACGTCCCACTTCGATCGCCATTGTTTGCGGCAAGCCATGGCACGAGACTCGATTTCACCTCCGATACGATCTGGATCTCCAACGAAAATCATAAAAAAAACATCAAAAAATAAAAATTAAAGAAAATAAACAAAACACGAAGAAATAATCAAAAACATCATGAAATTTTTAAACATCATCAAAAATCATCAAAAAACAAAAACCAACAAAAAACATAAACAACATAAACAAAATCAAAAAAAATCAAACATCATTAAAAAACATAGAAATCATAAAAACAAAAAAATCATATCCATCTTTTTTTATATTTTTTTCAAATCACATTCTAAAAATCATAAATATTCATTAAAAAAATCAGAAAAGAAAACAAACAAGAAAATAATTTTCTAGCTAATGTTTTGGATCTCAAGGTTAGTGCAATCCTTTTTGACCCAGTCTTGGAGAGTTGAGTGAAAGAATTCAGATGCTAATGCATCTCTCTGTCCGTTACGGCGAGTTTGTATTTTGTCTTGTACATCAAGGACCGTGCCACAGAGCATTGCGGCCACATTGCGAGGAAAGAAACGGAGTTGCATTCATTCTCAATCGGTTTAGAGATCTTGAGCATTGCCCTGGGGTTTGGCCTTGCAACTCTTCGCAACAGGTTGGTGCACGGCAAGCGTGTCCCAATACGTTTGGCCATTGGCGTTGGTGCTGCGTTGCCCCCACTGTGCCAGATAGCACCTTGAGGAAGATGTTGAAGTGTCAGCTCAGGTGGAGAAGATCCTAAACCCTTGCCTGAACCTTCGATCAACTCACAGCGAGTAATTTGTGTACCAGCGTTCAACTCTGTGTTGAGCATTTTGCTGGCTCTTACTGTGTCTTTTGATTTGTAAATAAAGGACCGTGCCATCTGAGCAGCGGCCGCATCCGAGGAAAGGAAAAAACATTCGCCTGAACCTGAACCGAACCTGAACCTGAACCTCTTCATTTGGCAGTCATGAACCTGCTTCCCAAGGGCAGAAAAGACATGAAGATGTTGCAGACGATTAAACCCACGAGCATGTCAAGTTTGCAGATGATGCTTTTACAGCCATGGAAAGCACGTTTCTTGTAGATGATTCAGCAGCTGGCGAACATGTCCCAAAGATACCAAAAGTGGATGATGAAACGCAGCAGAAGCGCTTGAGTCAGGTCACCAGCACAGACCTTTCACTGTATGAGCATGAAGATGATCCTGTGGGCTTTGCATTTAATAAATAATGATGAATTGGATGATCTGGCAGAATGTGAGCTGAATTTCGACAATGATGAGTTTTACGACAGACAGGAGCTCAGTGATGATGCAGCTACAAAACAGCTCATGTTTCCTTTCAGCAAGCAAGAGCCCAGTTTGAGTCCAGATGAATTGTAACGCTTGGATGCAATTGCAGATGCAGTAGAAGTGATGAAACGACTCACAAAGATGCAAGTGCTTACAAATGCTTCACAAATGCCTGCAGATTCGCAAGTCTTGTCAACACGTTTTGTGCGTACCGATGCTGGACAGCGAATTTGGCTGCGACGTTCCAGATTGTTTGCAAGAGAGTTTGCTTGGATGGATGCTGAGAAGGACTCCTTGTTTTCGCCGGCTAGCAATGCAACTGTGGCACGTTTGCTTCCAGCTATGCTGTTTTGGAGATGAGAGAGCATGCAGAATAGGTCAGCGTAGATGTCAAAGATGCGTTTTTGATGGTGAAACAACAGACTCCAACCATCGTCAGTTGCACACTAGCAGATGGTCAGGTTCAACCATGTGGATTGGGCCGCGTTCTCTGGCCAAAGAGATGGCAGCTTACTTTGGCACCGAAACATAACCAACCTGATGAAGCAAGAGCTCGGTATGTCACCTCATGTCCCATGTCCGTGCATTCTCAGGTCGAGTGACAACAGTTGCTACGCGCTCGTTCACGTTGATGACATACTTGTGGTTGCAGAGCGTGATTTTGTTCTCAACAGACTTGTGAAGTGCTTGAAGGAGAGATATGAGGTCTCAACTCAAGTCATGGAGAAGCCTCGAGACGCGGTCCAGTTTTGGAAGCGCAAGATGGGTCTTCAAGATGATTCTTGACTCACCATCCAGATTCACTACAAGCATGTGCAGCAGATGTGTTCACTGTTGCGTTTGAACGAACGAATGCAGTCGAAAAACACACCTGGTCACTTAGACATGGACCAACAAGACACCACTGGTGTTCAGAACTCGCGTGGGGATTTTGCTGTACCTTGCCCAGACCTTGCCCACTGAGCATGTGGTGCGACACCTCGCGACATATAGCACACAGCCGACACAGAAGGGCTTGGATGTTTTAAAACACCTGGTTTCATACTTGGCTTGTTGGTAAATCTCTTGGAAGTGGCGTGGCAGGAACGTTGGATTGTTCCACCCACCATTATTCTGACCCAGAGCCTGGCGAGACAATTTTTGAAGTTTTCACTGACAGTGATTGGGCCAGCAACAAAACGACAAGGAGATCAGTGTCGTGTGCTACGATGTTTGTTGGTGGATGCCTTCTTTTCTCGTCCTCAAGGACCCAAAAACTTGTTTCTTTGAGCAGTGCAGAGGCTGAAGTTTACTCATGCTCTTCAGGTGTTTCCGATGCTATGTTGTCACGCTTGATTTCATGGATGACTGGCTTCAAGATGATGGTTTACTTTCATACAGACACTTCGGGGGCACCGGGCATTTTGCAACGGCAAGGTGGTGGCCGTGTCAGGCACTTATCGTGCCGTATCCTTTGGCTCCAAGACCTGATTGGCTCACGGCAGATCAAACTTGCAACTGTGGCTGGTGCCGTCAATCCAGCCAACATTGGCACGAAGAGGCTGCCATGCAATCGCCTGAAGTCATTGATGTGCATGATTGGTACGTTTGATGTTTCTCGTGGAACCTTGGAAGGTGCAGAAGAGCGTGGGAACCTTTTCGCAAGAAACAAAATGTGATGTCCATTTTGAGCGTCTTGAGCCTGCCGAGTTTGAAGGGATGCGATGAAGACGCTTCTTCTACCTCCTCAGACCCTTCTCCTACCCCGATGGCTTTTACAGTGCTGTGCTGGTTTGCATTTTCTTTTGGAAGTGGATGCGTAGTGGCTTTCAGCCCAAGTTTTCCAAGATGAAACCAGATGCAGAGCCATGTGTACATGATGATATTGACAGCAGCGCCAGTGTTGTGGCAGATTCCACAATGCCCTCAGGCCCTCAGGTTTAGTTTCCCCGCCAGCTCAGCCAAAGCCAGCACACCGCTGAGAACTACATAATTTGGCGTTTGGAAAGATGCTGCAGAAGGATTGATGAAACAACTTCGCATGACAGGCGCAGGTTGTATTAAGAACGTGTGACAATTCTGTATGGTTTGATAGCTGCTTTCCAATCACCATATGAATCCTGCAGAATGTGTGCCCAGACGTAGGCTTGGCCTTGGTGGAACGAATGATATCGGTGATGATGAAGCCTCTCCAAACTACAGACGAATCACCGGCCCCGCAAATTTGGGAGGCCCAGCGTGCATTGGAGTTTATCCATTCCTTGCAAGTTGGATCAAGTACAAGCACAGGATTTAGCACAAACGTCGATATGGTTGCCAATTCCTTGGGACGCGGTGCAGCATATCCTCCTTGATTTCCTACAGATTCTGATGCTGGCGTTGGAGGGACGATGGAGAGATACTTTTCATCAATTGAAAGTGAGGTCTCCGACCCCGACTTGTGGATATATCTCCACCATGGAGATGGCATGCAAAGCACTGATGAGAACGAAAGCAACAGTGCACATGGATGTTGATGCAATCCATCAGGGAATATGTCAGTTTGCAGTGATGATTTTTTCATGCAGCCATGAGAGCTGAGTCAAAGCGTTACACTGCGAGGCCTTAGCCAGAGGTTAACTTGGGTCTTTGTTGGCCAAATGGATGAGTGTCGACGACATCTACCTTAGAGGAGGTTAAAATTAGAGTGTTTCAAGTTGTTGCAATGGATTAACCCCAAAGAGGCATAGCATGCACTGGCATTCGAAGGGGAACCCCAGCGGCAGAAATCCATTTGCAGTTTTTGACAGTTTTCTTGGATTTTTGTACGATGCTTACCAAAAGGTTGCATCGAGGTGGGGTGAACAGCATTTCCGTTTGTGTAATTCCAGCTCCAATATGCTCCAATAGGATATATTCCGTTGTTGCATTGAGTTGTCATGCGCGTGCACCACGCACAAATCAAAAAGTGTTTGTTCAGGCGGTTTCGCACCAACGAAAAATCTCAGTATCACACTGGATCCAAGTTACCCATCTTGCATTCTGATGGTTCATCCAGTTCCAACTGGTCGATGCACCAGTCCATAAAAAACAGGAACTTTGCCACGTGATTTGACCTTTGGCCTGTTTCTCCCATTTTTTTGTATATTTGATAGAATGTGACCGTTGGAACGCAACGGAAATCATGCCTTGAGCGCCTCACGTTAAACAAAGAGCGCGTTAACCGACTGCACTTGTGAAACCACGACAAATCCATTTTTGGAAACAGGTGTGTGTTGCATTTTTTTGTGTGCGTCGATTGGGCGGACCGTAAAATCAATCAAAACAATTTTGGTGGTCAATTTTGTTGTTTTCGTTCCTTTGCTTTCCATCTGATTTGAATTTGAATGGCATTCATGTCATGGGACAAGGCAATCGTGCAGCGTGAGTGTGCGTGGATTGTCGGCTCAAAATTTTCAGTGAATGTGCAAATTCATTCTGGAATTGTGAGTTCGTGCATTGGCTGTTGTTGCTGTTGTTTGCACATGGTGGCCCTTGGTTGGATTTTGTTTAAAGTCATGTCAAAATCGCAAAAATTGTCCGAGTGGAGTGTGAGAATGTGGAGGTCATGAATTTCACAGCACAATTTATGCAGCAATCTTTCCCGCCATGTTGATGTGCGCATGTTGCGAAGAAACTGGCAGAGACAATCACCAGGTTTCATGTGATGTTGCGTCAACCAACTTGTGTGTTGCACAATGTTGTATGTCGCTGTATTGCATTGGTTTGTGCATGGGGTTGGGCAAAATTGTGTGCATTTTGCAGGCTTTATTTTGTGATCCGCAGCGCCTTTGCTCGGCAATGAATTATAAATTTGACATGCAACGCTGCATTTTTTGTTGGCGCCCATTTGCAAGCAGCAAACTGCAGGTGAACATAATGTGAACATAGGAAATTTGGGAGAAAGGGACATGAACAAAACCTCCAAAATTGCAAAAACGAGACTGTGCATATTGCCTGGTTTTGATTGATCAACAGATCCGGGGGAAAAATGACACAGTATTGCAGATCATAGCGGAAATGAACAATATTGTATTTGTCGGAAGTAGTGATAACCAGCGCAGTTTTTTGGAAATGACATTGCAAACCAAATGCTGATTGGACCTAAGGTTCCCTTATGAGGACGTGGTTTCTGCCAGAAAAAACGATCCGGCACACAGCATTCAGGCAGTGGCACATGGTACCGAAATGTTTTTGGACATGTTCAACTCTTCCGGTTGCATTTGACAAAATGTTCATTCGTTCTGTGATGAATTTGTCGGACAAGTGACAAAGGGAAGGAAATGCCTTCAAATTATGACCTTTGCATTCGACAGGGTGAGGGCTAACATCAAGCCTGAAATCAATCTCCAAACAAAAATTTGAGCACATATACTTGTATATCCAATTTACAAAATCATTTTGATTTTGTTTTTGTTGAATGACTTGCATTGAATTTGCGTGCAAGGTCAAAGTGAAATATCAACCAGGATCCTCTGGCCGATAATTTGTGAGAACATCAAATCAACATGTCATGTTCATCACAATCCGGACAACTCTGAAAACACATTCATTTGTCCGTCAATATGTTTTCAGGGAATGTGTTGTATCGAGTGCTTAGGAAATCTCGGTGTTGACCTTGATGCCATTGACATCAACCGCGGCCTTGTGGTGCCTTGGCCTATTGGTTTGGGAACTGGGAATGGTGAACCGGGGAGTCTTAAAAAAATTGAGGGCCAAGGGTCTGATTGACCTGCGTGGCAGCATTTTGACAACATGCGTTGCTTGCATCTACAATGGAAAAACAAACTGCACATGATTGCCATTTCTTTGTGGATTATATTTTAGTTGTTTTCTGCGGTCCCGAGAGCGTCAACAAAATGCCAAGGTCAAGGCTGTTCTGCCTGATGGCCAACTAGCAGAGTGGAACAAAATCAATCCAGACTCCGCCATCCGGCCATATGATGCTTGTCCAAATCTTGCCAAACTTTCCATTCCGTATGCATTCTCTTCTGAATTTTCCGAATCGTACCGAATTGATATTTTTGTGAATGAATCGAAACTTCCATTTAAGGACAAGATCTTTAAGGTCAACGGGAAGGAGCGGAAAAGCAGAGCGGCCGCATGGACAACAAACACAGAAACACTGAAGTTTTCTCCATTTTTGCCAGCAGGTCGGTACAGTTCAAGAACTCGAGTCTTTCATCGTGTCTTCAAGCCTGGACCCGAGCCCTGCTTGGAAAATCCATGCAAGGGAAAAATAGTTTGTGACTGTCACATGTTGTGCCAATTCTGTGAATTTGTCTCAGATCCCGCAACGATGCTGGGAATGCTGTGCAACAACGTGCAACATAAGAGTCATTTAATTCAATTTATATCATGCACATTCCTTGTGTCATGTACTTGTACATATGTGTTCATACTTTGGACCCGGAAATTTCAGTATCTGGTCCGTGGCCATTTTTGCTTCAAGTTTCCCCTGATCTGTTTGGCTTGCCCCCTCGTGCCTCATTTGACTTTGCTGTCATGGATGGTCATTCAAGGGGGCATTGATTTGTCTTCATTTTCTTCCTGTAGGTGGCCCGTCTACCTTCTGCTCATCCATGGCGGTTCTGCCACCTACCGAAATACGCTTTCAGGTTGAGTTCTGGTCTGGAGACCATCCACACGATCTCAATCGACTCCTGGTTCACCTCGAGCTCGGACAGGTCGAATGTGACATCAACACCTTTATCTATCCAGTGATGTGGCCAACAACTCGCGGTTTTGACCCTCCTATCAATGATCTTTCTCTTTACTGGGTCCCCTGGGATGAAGAGTTGACATCGGCGAAGGTCATTCACTTCTACGTGGCCGACATCTCAATGTACAATGAGTTTGCCACACTGGCACATCACCTGAATGGGCAGATTGGCATGGTGTCACATCAAGCTCCTCGAGATCATCGGGACAATACGCTGCTCGTGATACACCAGGTCCCCCTCATCTTCATGATGGAAATTCTTGGACAGCTGTCACAACAAGCTCGAGACTTAGATCGCCGTGTGCAGGACTTGGAAGCCACAGTCCAATTTCTCCGCAACCGGCTTGGCCTCTAACTACTCCTCCATTAGGACATGTTAGGGTGTTGCTGGAGATTTGAATGCTTCTCTCCGCAGAGATTAATCAATGCATTCTCAGACAGGCGTGTGGTTTGAAAAAAGGTGTGTGGCTTGCTGTGACCAATTGTCTTGTTTTGTGGTTTTTCCTTTGCATTGGCATTTCAGTTTTGCTGCTCTCTTGTCTTGCGGCATGTTGGCATGACACAGGTGTCCTTTTTTCTTTCATTTTGTGGGGTTTTCATTCTGACTTCAAGATGGGTTGTGACCCGCCGGTCCACTCTGTCTTGGGTTTGTATTTATTTCAGTTATGCTGCAGTTGGTCATGCACCGCTGTGCTTTGGCTCAGCACCTGCTGGTGTTCAGTCCATACCTGATCTTATCTCTGATGTCGTCAGCTGCACCATTGACCCCGCTGCGGGTACCCTTGGATACCCCGGACGTTTGGCGGGTATCCATCAGATTTTTAGGTGATTCGGAAGTTCCACCATCGGTGATTTCCCACGGCACGATCGAGACTTCACCGGCCTCGTCACTACATGACCTGGTTCAGGGCATCGAACATGAGGGCTGCCTGACCTCCGCAGTACATGGGATCCAGGTCACGGCGTATACAAGTGCACCCATTGCTTCCTGTATGACCCCACGGCCTATGGTTGGTGACACCCCACGCCTGGGGACAGCTGGTTCGGTCAGGGGGGATCGTCAGAATGTTAGCCATGATGGGCGTCGACCTCCTAACTTAGTTGGCCAGCATGCGGCGACAGTTGCTGAACCCATGCTTACGGTGAACGAACATCAATTCCTTGCTGACTTTGCACTGCATGTTCACCAGAGGCTCATGCGAAGTCGGGGTACAGGCCCACCATCCTCTGAGTATGCTGCGGCAGCCTGGCTCACTACCAGGGCCTACATTGCACGCTCATTGGAGGATCTACGTCAGCCTGTGGTCGTCAACACTCCTCGAAGGCCCAGAGGTCCACCTCCTGATGGTCCGTCACATACTGATGAGGCTGACCTGGCTTGACCTGTGTGATATTCTGGGAGAGTTCTTGCTCAAAGTGGCATCCGTAGCAGTTCACTACCTTCGCAGACCCGCGAAAAAAATGGGGGCACCTGGGGTTTTGGGTTGCATTTCGACCAACAACATTTTCCATGAGTGGCATTGCACCGTGTGCTTTGCATCTGCCAACGCATGACGCCACATCGACAGTGGTTGTAGCCCAGCCGCTGCTGGCTCAATCCATTTAATTTATTTCCATTGCCTGCTGGGCACCCTCTGCGTTGTTGCAATGGCTCTCATGGGGGTCGCGCTCCCTCCTGCACAATTTAATCTCACGGTGACCTTTGGATCTGAGGAGGTTATCCCAGTGGAGCGCCTTTTCAAGGCTTTTGGCTTGGAGAACTTAGCGATTGACCCAAATCAGGTGCTTCTGCCACTGAAACTGCCCAAGGACCTTCCGCTGGAGCCCACTATTGAGCAATTCTGGCAGTACCGTTCAGGGTGGGAGACCCCGTTTGATGAGGAGTACGACTATCGCATTTTCTTGCCGGAGCCTGCCTTCTCCCATGTCTGGGAACACTGCACCAAGGCGTTTCCAAATCGGATCGTCTCGTTCTCGGGCCCAGGCCGTGTCGTGGGTGTCGACTTGGTCATCAAACCAATCTCTTTGGTGGACGTGACCTATCGCCTGTGGACCCAGATGCACGAACTGGATGACGCCAGGCTGCGCATCAAAGCATTGGAAAGGTCATTGGAGATGATCACACACAATGCAGCGGTGCTCACAAAGACCCTGGTCTCGGTACATCCCGATCTGGTGGACGAGATGCACCCCAACACTCCGCAGAGTTGGATCTCTCCACCTGAGGAGTACTGAATCTGTGGACCGAGGGCCGGTTGTTGGCGGTAGCTGTGCAGTTGTTGCCCAGGTTAGTGGAGTGGCCTTTAGGTCTTAATTACCCAGTCATATGCACTGGTGGTATCTCGCAACACGTTGACATTGCTCTCTGTGAAAAGCTGATTCTTCCGTCTGAAGTGTCAGTTGTCATGTTGTCCGCTGACATCTTTCTTTTCAGTTCATGCGATGCCATCAATGCATTCATTTTATCACTTGTGCCAGTTTTGATTTATGGGTTCAAGCTGAATTTTGCTTGGACTAGGGTGGTCGTATCATGGACTCCCCGCTGGAACTGTCCTTCCCTACGAGGGAACTCGGGCAGCGCCCTGCCAATGGCCCACTTGGTACTTGTGATCCAGATGCAGATGACACTGCTCCTCAATCACAACCACGGTTTCGAGTCAAGCGATGGAGGCGTGACCCTCCGCAACCTCCATCTTTGCTGCTGGCGTGCCCCAAGGCATCAGTTACCTCACCACGGCATCAGCTTAATCGTTGGGAGGAGGGTATGGTTAGTCCCAACTACAAACCATCTGGTGGGATCACACTGTCTGTGGGGGGTTTGGCCCCACCATCAATGACCCGTCGTGCCGGAGGTTTGGAAGACTTTGCTTGTGGTGGTCTGCCTAATGTGAGCTCAGCCCCATCACCTTGTATGCGATCAACCTCGTTGGCCTGCCAAATGGCACTACCTGGGTCTCTACCCAAGAAATCTGCTCCTCCAGGGGGCATTCTGTCATTGGAGGTGTCGACGCCGACTTCTCAACCACTTTCTTTGGATGCGATGTTTGTACGTCCCACTTTGGCGGACTCAACAACGATGCTGGCTCTGCACAAGCAACTTAAACCTCAGCATATACAAGATTGGCTGAAGCTGCTTGACAGCGCTGGTCTTCGAAGTGAGTTGTTTGCGACCACCAATGACAGTCTGAATGCAACCTTGCACAGATCGAAAGTCATCGAGCGATTTGCGCCATCGACTCTGGCTGCATATTTGAAGTCGTGGAACCAGTGGTCTGAATTTTGCGCATGTTCCGGGGTTTGTCCTTTCCAGCCATCGGTGTTGACAGTAGCAGACTATCTCCAGGTTTCATCGACGAAGAGTTCACTGGGTGTTGCGACTGCTCAATCTAGAGCGCTCACATGGGTGGCACGATATGCCGGCCTCCCAATGCTCAGGGATGCCCTCTCATCACCCATCATCAAGTCTTACACAGTTCCCTCTGAGCTGGTGTTGAGGAGAGAAGCTGCCCCTCTCCCTTTGAGCTTCGTGGTCTTTCTTGAAACACAGATCCTGCGAGATCAAGGTACCGCAGCAGACAGGCTCATCATGGGGTGCCTGCTTGTGTTGGTATGGAGCTCCCTTCGGTGGAGCGACGCCACTTGGGTGTCACCTTCGTCGTTGACCATCGATGTTGATGCCATCAGAGGGGTGGCTAATAAGACCAAAACTACAACACGAGGATGCCATTCGCATTTCTGACTTGTGGCTTCCTCTCAGGGATGACATCGATATCATGGACTATGAAATGGCTTAACCTTGTTCAGGCAGCATTACAGAGAACAGCAGAGGCCTTTCCGGGGTTTGTACCGGATTTCCTGCTCCCTATGTGTGGTCCGAACCCTGACCACCCAATGTTCGTGGCTCCTATGCCGAGATCCCAAGGTATCTTGATCTTGCGTAGACTGCTCAAGACGGCGTCTCCTGATACATCGCTCGTGAGCATTGGGGCCCACTCCCCAAAGGTCACTTTCTTGAGCTGGGCTCGACAAGTGGGGGCATCAGAAGAAGCCAGAATGGCTCAGGGCCACCATAGAGCTGCAGGCGCCCGCCACAATGTCTCCTTGTATGGGCGCGATGACGTACATGAAGCAATCAATCTTCAGAAGCTGATTGTCCATCGTATCTCAAAGGGGTTCCGCCCTGTGATTCCTATGCTACGCGGAGGGGCCAAACCCGTCTCCGATGCTCCGGTCACACTACCAACTACCACAGTGCACATTGATGATGAAGCTCCAAGTGTGAACTGTTTGCCAGCACTGGACGATCTTGCAGATACGGACTCAGGTTCATCATCTGAAGAGGAGAGTCAGCACGATGGTACCCCTGAACTCACTATGACTGTGGTACAAGCCAAGTCCACTGACTGCATCTTTCTGCTCAACACATCATCGTTGGTCGCCCATGTGGCTGCGTGCTGTGAACCCGATGATTCAG